CAGTTGTCAGCACGTTAAATTATTATTTTTTTCCTCTCAATCAGGGCCGTATTACGGGACGCAGAAAGGACACCGTCCAGTGTAAAGGGGGGTTTAAAAGACGTAACATTTCAGAACAGTTGTCTTTCAAGAGACTTAATTATTTCTTCTTTATTATTTTTAGTAGTAGTAGTAGTAGTAGTAGTAGTAGTAGTAGTGCAATGTAGTAGTAGTAGTTGTAGCAGTATGCAACATTCATATTTGACGGGATATTCAGAATGAGCAAATTCAATGACGGCGAGCAACCATTCAAGAGCAAAAGAAAAATCACTGTTCAAAGAGTAATATACAGACATGTCACCTGGAAAAAATCTTCTGACCCTTTTCACATAGCGCGGTATACTTAAGCTAGGGCCCACCAAACAGTCGGGTGGTTCTGTTAGAGCATTTATTTACAATATATTTGTGGGAGTTGGGAGTTTCTTCAGCTGTAGGGCGACAGAACGGGTGTTTGTTTATTTATTTATTTATTTATTTATTTATTTATTTATTTATTTATTTATATAAGAAATACGTATGACCCAAGGGCAAGTGACAGCCTGGCGTCAGATATAATCATACTCGGTAAAGTATGGACGTTATATCTATACAAAACGGGCAAAATGGCACCGAGCCTTATTCATTCTTATTATAATAACTTATCGCACGCTAACCATATAACTTTGCTCGGAAACAAGACTGATGGGTCCATGCTGCGAAAGTTATAATTTAATGACGTGTCGGATGACGCTACGAACGTTGCCTTGACGGGTTGTTGAATGATTTTGAATCTATGAACCACGTTTAATGATCCTTGAAACAGCAAGGCAAAATATCCGAAATAGGCGACAAAAGCGGCGATTATTAAAAAGATGTACTGATCAAATTCGCCACGCACAGCCTTAAATATTTGTACTGATGTATATGGTATTTTTTTCCTACGCAGATAACAGTGGGATATCGGTCCACGCTTAGTAATTTTTCACCATGCATAGACTATGGGCGCATTCAGAACACACTGGTCCGCGGGCTAACACATCAGGGGATCAAATAAGACCGACCCACATGAAAGCTTCCATAATCCCCTAATAGACACTGAATAGATTTCCCACGGGATTGCGCGGAAAGCTTTCAAGTGGGTCGGCCCTACGTAATCTGCGGATCTGTTTGTCCGGGAATCACCTTTGGTTGTGAATGCAGCTCATAAATTTGGCCAAAGAAGCGACCTATTTTCGAGTCAACGTATTGTCATAAACCAAGCCCTCGGTGCGAAAGTGTATGAACATGTAATGCCCTTCTTTGGACTGGTTGTTAAGATTTGAGTTAAGATGCCCATATGGTCACTGATATGGTCATCAACATCTTTTTCAGTACCTACTGGTATTAGTACAGCCATCGCTCAAACGAAAATGATGAATATATATTTATAGTCGATTGTTATCGTCACTTGACTTGACAAAAAAGAACGCCTACATGCGCAGTATTTTGACCTTTCTCTTAACGCAGAGTGAACTTGAATTTCTTCAAGCTACCGTACAATCATGTGCGTGACATATCTAAAAGTACGTTCAAATACAATACGAATTCTTATCGATGACATTTTGCTGCCTTCAGATATAATGTATCCCATTAAAAAGGTGTTTTGCGTGCCGAACCAACCTCTAAAAGTATTAGGTAACAGTGCCAAGTGTTCGTGGCACCCGAATCAACTAAGACCTGTGTATTGAATAAATCTGAACTAATTTACCATCATATAAAAATTTCACCGCTGATCAAAACTTGCGTTCAATAACTTACTTTCAGTCACCCAGTCTGCCGAGTATAGGACTCCTACCTCCGTCTGAGATATGACTGTTCTTTTGGGGAAGTGGTGTTTATGTATATCGGTTCCCCGATTAAGGACGTACAGGTACAGGTACAGGTGCGTGTTTACCTTAAATTGGGTATTTTTGTTCAGTGTGTCAAGCGTCATTGTTTAAGTAGGCCAGTCAACACCCTGAGTATGCGGATATAAGGGCTATATATAGCCTGTGGAAAACCATCTCACTATATATGTAAGCATGCCGCTGCCGTTTCGAGATACTGGGAATAGTCTTTAAGCAGATTGGAGCAGTAATAGTTCATCAGAATTCAATAACATATGTGACATTTTTGATGATATTCCGCATTTCATGTACCAGTGCCCGCTGCCTTTATAGAACTTGAATATTGCTAACACCCTTACAGCGTACACAGAAGGCCCTGCTTTAACCGCGTTGCACGTCCTCGAAACGTGCTCTTAACATTAAAATAATAAACTCAATCGCTCTGCGAAAACATAAAAGCTTCTGCTAAAATTAATGTAAACGCCCCTGTTTAAACTGACCTCCCCCAAACCCTTAACTTAAATAATAACTGGTCTCACGATTGTGTAAAATGATAAGGTGCATAATGCAGCATTTATATTTAGTTACAAGACACCCGAAATATCCTGTATGACCTCTAAAAAATGGTAATTTATCGCTTTAGTTGTCGATGTTTGATGATCCATCATCACCTGCTAGGGGCTTATACAAGAACAAATTTCCATATGCTAATTTAAAATTTTACTTTCATTCGAACTCCTGAAAGTCCCGAATGATTCAGGGTGTCCATTCACTGACCTCAGGACACGGTAGAGTACTATTTGAGGACGCCGGTTGCACGCAGTGCCAACCCGCTCAAGGACAGAATATCTACCAAAAAATGCCGTCAATCACGAACAAAAAGGTAGAAATAGGTCAGTCTGGCGACATGGCATAGAAAATCAAATTGCGTTTCGTCTAAGGATAAGATAAGAAAATAATTTATTCAGCCAATAAACATATTAGAATATATTATGTATAATATATAAATATTAGAAATTGTTTTCCCTTGCTAGATAAAATTAAAATAAAGAACTGTGCATAAAAGTATTTATGAATTAGGCTTAAAAGTGGAAATAATGTTAGCTACTGCAGGGGGATAAAAACTACTTTAAAAAGGTATATTGCCCTTAAATGTCAGAAGTCTACTATTCCTCGGTAAGAATTAAAAAAAGAGAGAATTTGCAGGATGGGTCGGAATCCCCCGTTGTGTTTGAGAGTGGGGTCGTTTTTTTTTTAATAAGATAGAGTTTAATAGTGCTAATTTTAAATGGTTCCGATGAGTGATTTAGATTTAAATATTGTAGTAATTGCATTTTCACAAATATTTAAGTCTGTAATCCCTATTTGGAAAAGACATGTATTAAAAGTAAAAGCCCAACTAATAGGGTGCATGGACTTTTTAAACATTGAAGTAGCATGGTTATGGGTTGTATTGCATGTTATCATACTAATTAAAAAACAGGTAAAGATCATCATATAATGTTTTGGGGATAGTTTACTTAAAACGGGTTATTTAATCATTGTTGGAGCTAATAAAAAAACCAAAACTCCATATGCTGTTTTAAAAAAAGACATTCATCGAACCCCCGTCATTTAAGATCCAAGGGATATTTAGAACGAATGGTATAAAAAGCTAAATCCTTGTTCCCTTTTTCATGAGCGCCAAATAAAACTTCTGACGGGATAACGACTGCTGTTGACCAGTTATTTAGAAACTATCAGTCGTGTTCGGCCCGTAACTATTTCTACCGATAAGAATCATTCTTGGTAGGTTGCAGCTGGGTCTGGTAGTTTTGAAGTCGTCTGCCCAATTCACCCCGGGAATGCTCAGTGGGAAACATGTCTGCATCTGTCATGTATGCATGCAGACGTTTTGGGCAATCATTGTAAAACTCCTGTTGCAATTTAAAAATGTAAATATTAAATATAAAAAACAGGTGCTTTTAGATAGGATTTCTACAATTCTGAAAGGTCCACATTTTTTTGTCTCAAGTCTAATTTTAAACATGTACAAATTAATTTACAAGACAATAATATCATTAATAAAAATCATTAAAACATTTACAGAGACAAAATCTGAGGCCATTCCACGATGGTATATTTCACTTTTACCTCATTCCACGAAAGAAGTACTAAATTTTTGGACATGTAATTTGCATTGGCCAGGCCAGGAGCTGTGACATGTGGTACTTTCACTCTCTATTTCTGATAGACCACTTGCGCTTACAGTTTAATTACAAACTGAATATTAAATAAATTAATTTATTACAGCAACTGAAATATTTTTTCATTTTCAAGTGCAGATTTTATTTCCACCAGTTAATCAAAAGTGACAACATATTACTTATGCACTGTAAAACATATTAGACACAGATCTTTACATTACATACAACTACCAAGTTGTCAAAGCCAAAGGCCATTTTAAAAGAGATATAATTTGACAATAAGAACCAAGAATCCAGATATCTTCTGTGTCCCTAATAACACAAAATGTAACCAAAATTGACTCACAACCTTAATAAAACAATCTAACTTTCACTCCCACAGGCTTAACTATGAGACTTACAAATATTAAACACTCAATCATACAGCTCAATTAGTACTGCATACAAATTCAAAAATTTATTAACATGATATTTATGATTATACCTTCACATTTTTCTAATACCACTTGACAATTGGTACAGATCAGTGAAATATGTTTTCATCAACTCTCTTTTAATCATGATAAAGAAGTTAATGTACAAGTCAGTCATGTGTTGAATATGGGTAGAGATATCATAAATCATAGGTCGGATACAATTTCCTTTTTTTCTCATTGTTAAAGCTGCATGATAAAACCTTAAAGAAAAGTCTCTACACTAGAAAAAAAAGTCACCATTTCATCCTTCAATATCTCTATTTATCATAATACAGATATTAGTGCAATTTGATTACTATTCCTGATATAAGAAAAACACTTTAACAGTTATTTAGTAAGGGACTGTTCACATGGAAAGTCTATTTTCTAAAAATCTATTTCTATTCGCGATATCTTGTGATCACGGAAGTAACTGGCTCGCGCTGCCAGTAAATACGCCGCGGGATATTCAGGGCACAGACCGTGATCACAAGATACCGCGAATAGAAAATAGATTTTTAGAAAATAGACTTTCCATGTGAACGGTTCCTAAGTCTTTAATGGACAGGCCCTATGTTTTGTGCTTAATATTTACATCTTTCTAGACTCTCTTTATACAGAATTTTCAAGTTCTAGTTATCCATACTAAAATACTACTAACACAAACACTGAAGAAGTTTCAAAACAATTTGTATGTCCCTGTAGGCAACAATGCCTCCAGCATTGGCCCACTGTTTTGCCCCTAACTGCTTCTGTACTTCCTTGTGATGGTAAGTCAATTCTGTTTTCCGAAGTTCTACTTCCAGCTGCCCAGTGTCCTTGCAGGACTTTACCACCTCCCACGCTTTATGAAAGTCCAGCACTGACCCACCCAAGGAGCGGAGAATGGCGTGAGAACAGCATGTGTCCCATTTATAGGTGGAGCCACTGCTGCATGAGTAAGTTGCCACAACGTTGTCCAGTAAGGAGAGGGATTTATACCCAGACCCTGAGCCATGAACGACTTGAAATTTTGTTGAAAATTTGGCTAATATATCTGGGAGTTCACTGGTGCTGCTGATCAGTTTCTCCCTGGGAACTGGCTCTTCTTGGTTTGAGTTTGATTGCGTTAGGTGTGACATCTTCATCTTTTTTGATTGCGTTGAACTTGTCTCATCCACAGCATTTGATTGGAGGGCTGGTTGTGACATAGATTCAGGATTCTGATAGGAGTTGATATTGGTAGACTTGTAAGAGATGCCCCATACAATTCTGCCATTCCATCTAGAATTAAGAAAACAAAACATTAAGTTTAGAATGTTTAATACAGTGGTCATGAATGATGACTGCCATACTGTACATATACTGAAAAATACTGTATTGAAAAAAAAAATCAAAAATGCAAGATTTCCATCCCCCCCCCTTCTTTTTCTAATTTCTGCAAATCAGACATAATGTATACTTATTGATTTCAGGGGAAATTGAATCAGATGCTGATCAATGCCACTGATCAATGACCAATTTACACACTAGAATTAGACAAAAATGTGATTACCTTTTGGTAATGACATCCTGGTTAGAAAAAGGTTGGTTCAATGCTCCAATGATTGGGATTCCAGATTCTCTGTCATATGCTCCTATTAGCACTGTGACACATTGAACACCTTTGGAATATACTCCGTTCTCTGGGGAGGCATCCTCTATGCCTGCTATATACTGAGCTGTGGAATCTGAACAAAAGATATAGACATAAAAAGATGTAAATTCAAATAAGTAAATAGGCTTAGAAAGAAGGCATAACTTAATGCTGAACAAAAGTAAAGGGCATTCAGCAAACTTCACATGCAGAACTCTGGATTTTCATTTATCTCACACAAATCTTGTGCAACCACTATTTTTTTTAAACTATTTTAATCAGAAACTAATTAAATTTGCCTAATTTGACTCAAGTAAGTTTTACTGGTTTTGAGGCCACATTCATAAACTGATGTTCTGATAATTTCAAATGAATTTTACTATTTAAGATGTGTTTACCAATGGGATCTATCCAGATTCCTACAGAGTTCAAGGGAAGCTCCTGGGTAACAGCAGATATCTTCTCAATATCAGGCAGCGTAACATCTTCATGGACAACTCTGGCAAGGAGTTGTGGGGCTTTGGCGTTGCCTTCTAATACTTTGGCTGAAACAGAAAGAACGGATGTGTTAGGTGTGACACTGGGACACAATTGAGATGACAGCTGGGTGAGATTTTGTGACACAGGACCTATGTATTGCTTTTATGTGAATAAAAATATATTTGAGCTTATCAATAGGAGATATTGTAGGTAAGTTAGCACTACTACGTAATGAAAGAAAACTTTCTTCTACATCAACCATCACTTCTTTTAGTTTTACACAAATAATCTTTATTAAAAAATTTGTTTTTTTCTCAGGGGTTGAGAAACGAGTTGATAACAGTTATAATGGCATCTTGTGTTTAAAAGTGCCAACAGTAACTCAACTCTGCCTAGCACTTCTTGACACTAAGTTTTGATGGTAACATTCAGGGGAGGATCCAGAGCTATTTTCTGACAGTCTTCCAAATTATATTTATTGATCTATCCTCCAATTTTGACTGTCTTCCTTTTAGAAGATTTTAAAAGATACCTTTTAATGTAAACTTGAAAATCTGACCGTCTTCTGGAAGACCCAGAAGATGGCCTAAATCTGCCCCTGACATTACTATACCTTGTGCAAAATCTCCATCACCCTGAGTTTATGAGTATGGGTGATAACTTAACTTTACAACTTAACTTTACAACAGCACATGCTTTCCCACATAGAAGGACACAGGATTTTCAGTATACTCAGGGTGGTTCATGACTTATATATATATATATATATATATATATATATATATATATATATATATATATATATACCTAGCAGACTGCATGTTTCTTCCACTGTGTCACAAACTCTGACATGAATTGTCTCTCCATTAGTGTTGGTGAACTCACTCTCTTCTTCACCATAAACAAATTTCTCAAGGCCTGGAAACTGAGAGACAATAATATTTATCTTTAGAAATAAACCAATCTCATTATTACAGCTAGTTAGATATTATAAGCATAAATTTATGGAATAAGCAAAAAAGCTGCAACAAAAAGTAGAAGCTATACTGATAGCTAAATACTTTCTCTCACTGTTTCTTCTTCTTAATTTATTATATTATTATTACCTGTTTTCCTAAGTCATGCTTAATGGTTTCCTGTATAAGAACATCTGCCAGAGTTTTAAAATCTTGAATAACTTTATCATGTCTCTTTATCTCAGGTTTTTCTTCAATGAGTAAAGAGAACAGGTCCTCTTCTGCTCTGATGGTCCTGGCTATTCTTGCTGCTTTTTCCGATGCCCTGATTAAAGCATGAGTCAGGTCAGAAATCTTCATGGCACCTTTTTAAATTTTAGAAAAAAAGGATAAATACATTTAAAATGGGATATCTGACCTCCCAAATAAATATAATAATGACATAATACAACGACATAAGCCTAGGTTAAAAAACCATCTGAATACCCCCCANCTTAGTGAGCACAGAACAGATATCACCATTGGTCTACATATGTCAGGAAGAATGTTATAATTATGAACTTTGTGTTACACTGAACTTCATTTTGTTAAATTTTGTATTTAACTGAACTTTATTGTGTTAAAATAATAATAAAAAAATAATAGTTCTGATAAAAAACTACAATCTGGAACATTCTTTAGATCAACTTTGTTCAGTGTGTGTCCCATATGACAGAGTTACAGTAAATAAAATATGTGCATTATTCCTCTGTGTTTGTCAATTCCATTTTAAAAGCATGTGAAAGTGGTGTGCCCCTCATGAATGAAGTGTGTATGGATAATAGCAAAAATATTGTTATTATTTACATGATTATAAAAAGTTTTTGTACCCGCGTCAATAACGTTACCGTGACCCACATATTCACCATTTTTATTAATTATGAAATGTGGATTAAATTCTTCAAAACCAGTTTTGAAGCATTGAGACAACACCCCCTTATGATTTAAACTAAAACTGAAAACATTCCATTAGACTTTCATTAGTTTGTGCAAAATATATTACCCAGGGTAACGCGTCTTGGATTTGGTGGGTATAGCTGTTCAACTCTCCTGTGTGCCCTAAAAAGGGCAGCTGCTGTTTCCCTTTTTATGAAATGATAAACTGTGATGGTGTAGCTATCACATCGCAAAATTACAGCTTCCCAGAGAAAGTTTGAAATTTTCGGTCAAATTCAACATTTTGTAACCACTAGCAAAGAATGACAGGTATATATTCATCTTTAAAGACCGATTTATCTCTTACGGACAGGTAATTTTAACGTCACACGCCCAGGTTGCATTGTGAATCGACATAAAATAATATATCGTAATGTTGTACTATTTGAAAAATGACAATTTAACAGAAAAACGATTCAGTTACAATGATACTTTGGTTATCATGTCTATGAAATTTTTAGCACTCCGGCCCTCCAAGGACTATCTGCCAATTCCAGTTTCATGACTGGATGACATCAGAACCAGTGCCGCCATCACCGCGTTCATTTCTTGAGCTGTTTGACGCAGTTCAACAATGGCAACAAAAAAGTGGAAACACTTCCATAACTGTCCACTGCATGTAAGTAAAACAAGACACAAGCTTTCATATAATAATAATAATAATAAGGTTTATGAACACAAACGGGAATTTCCTATAGTTGGTTTATACGCCCAACCTGGCCGGATAACTTCAACAGACTGGTTGTATATGTTATCACCCACTGCCGTTGTCTACTCGCATTGATCTGATGATGGTCTCTGACAAAATTGGCCAAAAATGCCTTGAGTGAATTAAAACTGTAGGGAGATTTTAGCTTGTGTTAAAATCCATACTACATTTTTTATATGATCAAACTATTTAGTTAATGACATTTTGCTCATGACACTGTTTTAAAGCCATCTTATCTTTTTCTATAATAAAGGAACGGTGCCCACCAGAGCGGGTTGTTCTGTGCCGTGACTCGCATACTGGACAAGCTGAAGGTGGAGCAGGAAGTGGATGTCTTCCACACGGTGAAGGCTGTCCGACAAAACAGACCACAGCTGATTGATAGCAAGGTACATACATGCACAACTGCCTGTCATGTGCAAATCTGTTTAGAATGATATAATGTGAGGCGAGGCCGTGAATACACAGATGAGGTAGTGTCGCCATACTTGACAACACTTTACGCTTAAAATTGACTTACTTAACAAATATTCCTTCCTCTTCAAACCCGTTACAGTTATATATTTGTCAAATTTGCTTAATATGGAAGTACCTACAGTGTGTTTTGTCTTGTAGGAGCAATACTATTTTTGCTATGAAGTGGTTGAAGAATACGCCCACAGGTTCGACACGTACGCCAACTTCCAGATGTAGGATTTTAAAGGACACTGAAGACGTGGCCTTCATGGAGATATAAAAGAAAGGCTCCCTTTTTTATTAAGTGCAGATTTTATGATTACTTGCAATCAACTGTTGTTTTTCCAAGCAACAATGTCTTTAGATAGAGGGATAAGGACACTGCTTGCTTTTCTGACCTCCCTATAAAATTTTATTTCTTTGGAAGGAGGGAAGAAATCACTGACACACATACTGGAAGCGATTGCCATAATCTAAGTTTTACATTTAGCTACGCAATAGACATACATGCAACTGAGGAATTAAGGAATAACTTAATGTTCCTGCATTTAAAGCTGTTGCTAAAAACATATAGTTTATTAATATTTTACTACTATAAATGATATGTATTCGTACATGTTATCCAGGATTTATGATGACAGTACTGTATTTGTTTTTGTCAGTATCTTTTGACAGAGGAGAAAAAAGGCATTAAATTTCCTGGAGTATGCCTGCCATTTGTAACGTAGGAGGTACCAGGGGAGGGTGCAAGCCACCTTATCAGTGAGTCAAAGAGATAACTATTTGACCAACACTTTTTTAAATGATTTTGTGAAGTTCATGGGCGATATGAACTCTCTCTTTGAGTAAAAAGCTGTGGGATTATTTTAAAGTACTCAGAAGCGCTGCAAACATCTACCCAGAATGAAAGATCATGCGTTGTGCACTCACGGGAATATATTTGCGAAGGCTTTAATTGCAATGAACGACCGTTACGTATTCACCAATGTGCACGAATCAACCCCTCCCCGACCTTTCTTTCGCCACCAAAACCCTACCCAACGTAATCCGCCGCTGACCCCGTCCTACTCCAAGCCTTCCCTATGCCGACCGCCGCCTAGGTAAGGGGACCTAGCAATTTTTGTGTACTTTAAATACCCAAAATTTATTCCAAGGAAGAACGGTTGACCCAACCAGGAACACGGAAAAGTCAAGGACTGTGCAATGTACCAAAAAGCCCATTTCTTCACAAAGACTGGATTATATTAGACAGCATCACTGAAATGTACTCGGTCCAGATGAGCGAGGAGCTTTGGAGATGATGTGTCACGTCGATGAACACAGCTAATAGAAATTTAAGGTGCTCGTTAAAGATCAAAATATTATAAATTTTTATTACTTTGGAAGATCTATTGGTCTTTTTATATAAAGGGTATTGAATTAGAAGTAGTAGTATTTATTCCAGAAGAACAGACATGCTGAAAACTTATCAGAATGGCCGGACATTTGGACTGGAAGTAATGAAAAATTTGCCGGACCGAATGGATTATTGTCGGATGGAAAATCACCCTATTCGTTTGAGACAGATACTACCAGTACGATTAGGTAGCTTACTTTGTTTATGAATATGATAGGTTTGAAATGGAAGGGAAAAAACGCTTTGGGTTTTATATAATTTTATTAGTGAAGTGTGTCGCATGATGACTGTAAATTTAGAATTGCGGTTCTTAAAACTCTTGTCGGTCCTTTGGACCAACCAAGTTCAATTTGTACCGGTCCACACAAATTTTCCCGGTCATGACCGATCTGACCGACAATTTCAGCATGTCTGGAAGAAGGTATATAATATAATATAATAAAATATGATATAAATATAATATGTGAGGAGAGCAAAATATTCTCCAGAGTAATGGATGCTGCAAATATGTCTTTATTTACCCTAGACAACTGATTAACTTCGGATACAAACTTTTCATCACAATTACAGCAAATTATTAAATTTGTTTATTGAGCCATTACCTTGTTACAAAAATAAAATATGCAAAAACACATTTAATTTTTGCTTCTTTTTTTTTCTTTAACATCGACTGTAAACTAATAAACAACAGTCGGTTTTTGTTATGAATCGAAAAGCTGGTTTTTGCACAAATATTTATTTATCAAATATGTATGCTTGCGCACAAGGAAAAGACGCGTACATCTGTAATGTCGTAAACCAAACAATTTTCTTCGTAAAAAAAAAAGCTTTTTGACGTAGTCTAAATGTTGCAGCCAAATCTTATACCACGTTTGAGTAAATATAAGGCAATACCAATAACGACGCTTACTTTATTTTGATGCGCGTTCAAATAAATCTCCTTTTTCTGCTTTAACCACATGATTTTGCATTTTATGAGGCAAAATGAAAGTTTTCAAATGGCATACATATCTGGTTTCGATAAATAAAAGAACAATATGAGAATGTATAGACAGTGTCCGTAGTGTGACTGGACAGAAAAAAAGAAATGTTGAGCAACCTAAAACAAAATGCTGTTTCTCATACAAATGTCAAACTTTTCACTTGGCCAGGCAGGATTGCGCAAGGAATTTTTAAGAAATCGCAAAACATAACAGTATTCAGATTTTTTTAAGTTAAACTCCGTGCTGGTATCAATACTTCTGAAAATATAATAAAGTTATTTAGAACTGATTCGAAAATTCAGCCTAGCTTTGTACCATACATGTACACGATGCTAAATCTTCAGACAGTATTCATATGCCTTTCTCATGTCAGCCACATTGATATGAAAGGGAACAATGCTAGATATACAGCGTATGAAGGTGTATCTTTTTCACAGACAGATTCATTTCCTCCAAAAAGTGCGCCACTTATCATGCTTGTTCACCCTTTTAATCTTTGATTTTGCGCGAACAAAAATACTCTTTTGTCAACCCACCTGAAGTACAATACCAGTGACACAACAGCAGTGCGCTAAGGTATGTGAAGGAAGAAATGGCTGCCCTGACGAGGATGACTTGCTTCCTGGTTGTCTGGATGATATTTTTAACAGGTAAACCGGACAAATCATAGCATATAGAGTAACAGTATTTGTTTTAGTATGAATCTGGAGGAGAGTTAAAGTATCTTGATCGACGTGTGATCAGTATTTTTATATGTGATTAACATCTGTCAATTTACTGTTTGTGACGTGGGCGATGAGCTGACCCAGCCCGAGTTCAAACCAGAGTGTCATGAAAAGCG